ATATTCAAAAGTTTGGGGTCCGTTTTTTTTATTTATATATTTTTTTTAATTCAGCAAGGATGAATTAAATTGATCATTGAGTACATACTTCTACACTGTTTCAATTCAAAATTCAAAATTCTATTCATGAAGGAATCGTGAAAAATGCAATCACGGTATCCACAAAAATAGTAAGCAACTATTTCAACATTCATAATAATAATAAATGTTATTATAATTGTATAATTTTTTGATATAATTTTACATTATAATAGCAGCAAATCGGCATATTAGAATGATTTCTGAAGGATCATGTGACACTGAAGACTGGAGTAATGATGCTGGAAATTCAGCTTTGATCACAGGAATTAAAACATTTAATTAAAAAAAGGATTAAAAAAAGAAAACTTTAATATTTAAAAATGTATAATGTTTTAGTTTTTTTTACTGCATTTCTGATCAAATAAATGTAGCCTTGGTGAACACAAGAGACATATAATTAAATTCCATTCTGTACCAACATAAAAAGCACATATCGTGGCATCAAAAAATGCAGAATTCTGCTTTAGTTTGCTCTAAAACAGGCTGTAACAGATGACGCTATATATAGTCAGAGAAACGAGAACAAAAGAGAGATAAATAATGAGACTATATACTGCAGTATAAGTTGCCTGGGGCAGTGGGGGGCCAAGATGGTCCCCAAGTAAGTGATGTAGAAGCTTTGATCTCCTGTCCACCCCCTCTTCTAACTCTCGCATGGATCAACTGCAGCACAGCGTGCATACACTTCTGCAACAGAGGAAATCTGTACATCTGCACTGCAGTCATATATATAGCGTAATATTGAACTGTACATCCGCTATTGTCACCGCATGTTAATGAACTCTTACGCGCAGAGAAAACTAATCTCTGCACGGGTTTTATTTTGTACTTTTATAAGGCCAGAGATGCTTTTCAGTTTTGTAGCTGTTGCTGATTGTGGCCATTTATTTTTTTATCAGCCCTACAAAACTATGACCTATGCAGGAGTGCATTCAGTTTACTGCTTAGTGCTTAATACACTAAAGTATGGAAGCCCGTTTCCGCCACTGAATGAAAAATAAAAAAGGTAATTGTGACTTTTTATCTCACAATTCTGACTTTTTTTCTCACAATTGCGAGTTTACATCTTGCAATTCTGACTTTATTTCTCAGAATTGCGAGATATAAAGTCAGAATTGCGTGATATAAAGTCAGAATTGCGTGATATAAAGTCAGAATTGCGTGATATAAAGTCAGAATTGTGAGATATAAAGTCAGAATTGCGAGATATAAAGTCAGAATTGCGAGATATAAAGTCAGAATTGCGTGATATAAAATCGCAATTGCGTGTTATAAAGTCAGAATTGTGAGATATAAAGTCAGAATTGCGAGATATAAAGTCAGAATTGCGTGATATAAAATCACAATTGCGTGTTATAAAGTCAGAATTGTGAGATATAAAGTCAGAATTGCGAGATATAAAGTCAGAATTGCGTGTTATAAAGTCAGAATTGTGAGATATAAAGTCAGAATTGCGAGATATAAAGTCAGAATTTCGAGATATAAAGTCAGAATTGCGTGATATAAAATCGCAATTGCGTGTTAGAAAGTCAGAATTGCGAGATATAAAGTCAGAAATGATTGATATAAAGTCGAAATTGCGTGTTGTAAAATCAGAATTGTGAGATATAAACTATTCTGAGGGGAAAAAAGTTAGTCTTTTTTCCCCCTTAGAATTGTCCTGATAACTCGCAATTGCGAGTTTATATCTCACAATTCTGAGAAAAGATGACAGAATTTCGAGATATAAACTCGCAATTATGTGTTATTAAGTCAGAATTGCGAGATGTAAACTCGCAATTGTGAAAAAAAAGTCAGAATTGACAGTCGCAATTCTGTCTTTTTTTCTCGCAATTGCGACTTTATATCTCGCAATTGCGACTTTATTTCTCAGAATTGCAACTTTATATCTCGCAATTGCGACTTTATTTGTCACAATTCATACTTCATATCTCGCAATTGTGAGATAAAAAGTCGCAATTATTATATATATTTTTTTTATTCAGTGGCGGAAACAAGCTTCCATACTAAAGACAGCTGTACTGTACACTAGGAGACTAAATGCCGCCAGGTGGAACAAACTGTAATTTGCACTACTGTCTGTTCAAAATAAATGAAAAGAAACCTAGCATTGGGAATTTGTTGCTTTTTCCTGTTGTACCAAACTCGTATTGAACCGTGACCCCAAAACCGAGGTACGCACTGAACCGTGACTTCTCCGTACTGTTACACCCCTAATATATACTCTACATTTAGGCATTGATGCACCATTTAGAGCAGGAACATGATGCATTGGATATCGTATTTTATTCTAAATAGCGACTCTGATGCGCAGGATTGCAAGTCGGCTTGTGAGAGACTGAGTGGATTAAATGGATTTTAGGAAAATGGGAACTGGCACATTTGGGAATCCAGGAATCGACAGATTTTGCAGGGGGCTTTGTGGAAGACACATGGTGCACAGAAAGAGATAATGCGGGATGAAAATGAGTGTTGGAAGACAGAATGAGAGAGAGAGAAGGAAAAAGGGAAGAAGAAAAAGAGACAAGAAAATAACACTGGCATCTTTGCTTTGAACACGCGCTCACATGCCTGTGTTCAGTTTGACTGCAATGTGCTGCAGTAAGTGGATGTGCCATGAGGCGTTATACACTGTGGAAGCCACTATGGGCCAGATTTACTAAACAGGGCAAATTAGCGTGGGAGTGCAATTCCCCACCAAAAAAAGCGCCGATGGGAAAGGAAAGTCCTGCGCGTGATCTACTGTCGGCAAATTAAAGAATACAGAGACAGTAGATCATTTCCATAATGACCAATGCAATCTCCCAAATTACTGTACTGTTTAAAACATGCTTGGGGTGTTAAATAATGGTGCAAATATCAGTAAATTGACTAGCGCAAACCTTAGTAAATCACCTTAAATACTCTCTTCCCATCAATTTTGCGTCTGAAAGGGAAACTCCTATAAATGCATATACAATAAAACATAACTGTCTCTACGTCTTATCAGCGCTTATGTTTCACTGCGTGTCATTAGTACATCCTTTATTAAATCTGGCCTTATGCATTTGGTTCGTGTAGTGAACATACTGAGGTACTTGATGACTTTTTGAAAATTACAAAAGCACTCTTTCATTATTGAAAGAATTGCTTAAATATGACAATTACCATTGTAAACACAAAACACCTACACTGGATACCAAAAGAGGTAAAAACTGAGAGGAAAGAAGCAAAAAGGGCTCTGAGATAGCAAATTACTGCTAATGTCAATAATTTGTTTCTCTGGGCATATTGGCGCCTGGAACCTTAATTGCGAGAGAAAAACACCTCCTTCGAAACCAGCTCTTTCCATCCTCTGAGAGTATCTGTCCACTTTGCTCTCTCTCAAAAGAAAAAAAAAGACAAAAAAAAAAAAAGGACTGGAAGAGGAGAAGAAAAAAAGACACATGTTGATGGGTTTTACCTCAGCCTAAAAAGTCAGTCACTTATTTGGTTTGTTAACTCCATCAATTTACCGCAATTTGTCGTAAACGTATGCCTTATACTGGAGCATAAGTAATTTCCCAGAACGCTTTAGTCTTTCCAGCTGGCCTCACTCTTAAAGTGAATCATAGGGTAAACTAATCCTGACAAGTCCTGATCCAGAGTGCAGTGGACTGATCATAACTGGTAGAAGGCAAGGACATGTCCTTAGTCAAGGTCTAGTAAAAGTGCACTGTAGTTCAAAGATAAAAACTGACGTTTCATGGCACTTTGTAGTGTTAAAGAGGTAGTTCAGCCAAAAATTTTAATTCGGTCATTATTTATAGTGTTTCAAACCTGTATGACTTTCTTTTTTCGAAACAATGTTTCTATCCATAGAGTGAAAGTCAATGGGGTCCAAAACAACACAGGACCCCAATGACTTCATTGTATGGACACAGCAATACTAAAATCTTCTTTTGTCTTCCACAGAAGAATGTCAGTCATACAATTTTGTAACAACAGTGTAATGAGTATAAAGAAGACAATTTTCATTTTTGGGTGATCTATATTTAAATATTATGCACTATGAAGCACCCCATGTAATGCTATTCTATAGTATCCATTACTGTATAGAGTGCAACAGTCGGGTTCTGGAAGTAAAAACCCCCATTCATTTTCTCCATAGGGGAATTGATTTTTAAATGATAACTTATAACCTTTAGAACTACAGTGATCTACGAGGTTGTTAATTGATGGTTTATGCTATTGTTGAATTATTTTAAAATAATTTTTAAAATAATTGTTTAAAAGTGGAATACCTAGTGGAATAAACTACATTACCCATGATTCTGTGAAAAAATCTCTACCAATCAAACAATCGAAACAAGCAGGCCGCGCCAAAAGAACTCTTTAAACTGGCACTAATTGATTGTTGAAGCCATCAGCCTGCATTATTTTAAAATATTTTTTTCAATAACTGTTTAACAGTGGAATAAACTACATTACCCATGATTCTGAGAAAAAATCTCTACCAATCAAACAATCGAAACCAAATAACTCTTTAAACGGGCACTGCGGATCTCATAATCGACTCTCTGTACGCTCTCAAACTACTTTGTGCATATTTTACAACTATATTGTTTCTATATATATATAATCAATAGTTTTATATGTGTCTATTGTTTTTTTATTCCGCAGTGCCTAATGGGACTGTACATATTTCCCTCATTAAAGCTGTTTTTGTCCAATTTTCAAAGACTTTTTTTTTTGCTTCTGATTAAAGTGTGTAAATGTGGTTTACCTCGTAGCTGGTTGGTTTGGTTCATGGCTTATAACAAATACTTTTTTTTTTTTTTTTAATCCCTACGCAAAAAATACTTCCGGAACCAAGGCCGCTGAAAAGGTGGGCGGGAACTGTTGCACTTTATTCCCCCATCATAACCATAATGCTCAGCCGTGTTGTGTCAGACACTCACCATCCTCTGTGGGCACATAGATGTTGAGGTAGAGACAGTCTTCACTCTGATTCTGAATGTAGGTGGCAGCCACATCCAAGCTGTCAGTAAACCACACAGGCAGCATTATCTCGGGCAAAACGCCGTGCACGTTCTGCGGGCAAACAGGGGCGAACTGTGTGGCGTTACGCACTTCCTGCCAGGACCCGGGAGCTTCTGGGGGCTGAAAGCGGCGGTCTCCTATTGGCGCTGTGGCATAGGGGATGCCCAGGTACTGTTCCACGGGACCCAGGATCTCGTTGTTAAGATCTTTTTTAATCCCACGCAATTTGCCATAGTTTGTGGTGACGGTGGGATATTTGGTGCCAGGATCAATGCGCTGGCACGATGTCAAGGCGATCCACAGTGCCAACCAGAGAAGAGTAATTGCATGGGTGGCCTCCGAATTGCGGGCATGGCCCAAATCCCGTTTACAGGCACGGAGCGGAAACATGACTGCCTCGTTCTTCCCTTCTTCGCGTCGCTTGTTTATTGACGTCCGCTTTGCTTGGTACCCGGTGAAGGGCAAAGGAAAGTTAAACTATTAAAAAAGTGGTCCTGTTTGATTTGGTCTTTCAGGGAGCAAGAAAAGGGAGGACAGGAATGGGGGGACAGTGGAAGGGTTGGGGTGGACGAGGGGCTGAGGTTGTGCTCAGCCCTGGTGAGTTATCGTGGAAATGCAATAGCGAGTAAGAGAGAAAAGTCTGTTACGTTCCATCTCCCTGAGCTGTCCTCATGGGGTCAGTTAAAGAGGTCACGCAGATGATTGCTGGTCCTGTCAAGAACAACAAAAAGAGTAAGTGTTAGTCATCAAAGCTTCATTTACCAAATGCTATCCTTTGAGTAGCACATGTCAACCACATGAATTTGTACCATGTTGAATGCTGCAACCTGGATTAAAGGGATAGTTCACCTAAAAATACAAATCCTGTCATCATTTACTCCCATCTCATTCCAAACCGAGACTTTTTCTAGTCGACTAGTAGTCGCTCATTTAAAATGGATATGGAAAACAATCGTTCATACCCTCTGAATAAACGGTGAGAAGTATTACCTCGGGTGTATCCAGCGCTCGTTTCAACAACATGGTCTTGCTTCCTTTGAAGTTGAAAAGACTAGGTGTCCACTATATTGACTACGTCAGCTAAATTCACTGTTAGATTATTAGATTGATTACACTAGTTTCACTCAAAACATAGCATGCTGTGGACATCTGCTGGTTAAAGCCGTGTAAATGCGACAAGAACAGCAAAAACATGTTCAATGACGTTGTACACACTTTGAAACCACAGAGCGTGAGCTTAGAATAAACAGACCGTTATCGTTCGTTGGCGTGGACGCAAATATAGTTATCGTTATAGTTATCGTTCTTGGTGTTAACGGCCATTTACTCTTATCTGTATGAGCAATAATGACGGAGTATTTTAAGTTGTTTCCGGGTGTTGCAAGTGATCGCGTCAGCTAATACTTTAGCTTCAACACTGGATATGTGCATAATAATAGCGCATATTTATATAGGTTAACGTTAGAGCAAGTGGCCAAGTAAAGTTGTTTCTACTAACATGTTTCAAATAATAAGCCATATTTGAGGTTGATGGATGATAGGCGAATGTTTGGATTTCCTTATCCAAATCCTGTAATTACCACACGGACCCGCCGTTAATGATCTGTCCTTCAACGACTGCGTGACTTCGCCACTTCCTGTGGAGTTTTTTTTCCTACGACTAACCGACTAATAAAGTTTTGGTCGACTAAACCTCTTCTCGTCGACTACGGTTAGTTGACAATTAGGGAGCAGCCCTACAGAACACAAAAGAATATATTTTGAAGAATGTAGAAGGAAATTCAATGGTTGTTTTGGACCCCTCTGATGCAAAATCCAGTCATTTCAAGTTGGTCACGTGAATTAGCCGTGTTGACCAACAGAAAGCTGCTTGTTTTGGAAGTGACTTCTGTGTGAGTGGTGATTCATCCATCACTACATTACTGACATATGTTCTGCAGACGAAAGAGAGTCAAACAGGGTTTGCATCTACTCGTGAGGGTGAGTATACAACGCATTCTCATCCCAAGGCGTCATATACTGACGCTTTTGCCAAAGCGTCTACATCCGACGCACATGGCACCCTTTAGCGTTAATATAACACGCTTTGGTTATGGGTAGGTTTAGGTCTGGGGTAGGGTTAGGGTTAGACCACTAGGAGGCGCCATATATCTGCGTCTCATATTGACGCTAAAGGGTGCCATGTGCGTTGGATATAGACGCTTTGGCAAAAGCGTGAGTATATGACGCCTTCGGATGAGAACGGGCTGGAGTATCTCCTTTATAGGTAAACTATCCTATTAAAGGATTAGTTCACTTTTATAAAAACTTTTGCTGATAATTTACTCACCCCCATGTCATCCAAGATGTCCATGTCTTTCTTTCTTCGGTCGAAAAGAAATTAAGGTTTTTGATGAAAACATTTCAGGATTTTTCTCCATATAATGCACTTTACTGGGCACCAAACGGTTCAAGGTCCAAAAGACAGTTTCAGTGCAAACTGCAAACTGTTCAAAGGGCTTTAAACGACACCAGACGACGAATAAGGGTCTTATCAAGCGAAACGATCGCTCATTAATTTTTTTTTTTTTTTTTTTACGTTTTATAAGCTCAAATGCTTGCCTTGCTCTGTTCTGTGTGACTCTCCTGTTCGAACTCGTTCATCAAAATGAACGAATCTTTTTCCGAGTCAATTCGTTCATTTTTGTTCGTTAAATGAATCGTTAAATGAATCAAATGACTCGAAAAAAGATTTGTTCATTTTGATGAACGAGTTCGAACAGGAGAGTCACGAACGTGCATCACAGAACAGAGCAAGGCGAGAATTTGAGCTTATAAAACTTAAACTTTGTTATTTATTTTTGAAATGACCAATCGTTTCGCTTGATAAGACCCTTATTCATCGTCTGGAAACGTTTAAAGCCCTTTGAACAGTTTGCAGTTTGCACTGAAACTGTCTTTTGGACCTTGAACCGTTTGGTGCCCAGTAAAGTGCATTATATGGAGAAAAATCCTGGAATGTTTTCATCAAAAACCTTAATTTCTTTTCGACTGAAGAAAGAAAGACATGGACATCTTGGATGACATGGGGGTGAGTAAATTATCAGCAAAAGTTTTTTAAAAAGTGAACTAATCCTTTAAGCGTCTTGCTCACAATGGTGATAACTGAAGGATTTCCAGGAGGTTTGAATGTATAGCAGCCAAACAAGCATTTCGCGTTTCCAGCCCAGATCATTGGATTTGAGACAGAAAACCAGAAATAAAAAAATCTTTAACACTTCCCATCAAATATTAATGTTTTCTCCACGTTTATATGTAGCTCAAAAATTCAGTGACTAAGCAGTTTTTGTGCTTGCCATAGGGTTCTTCGTCTAAGCCCTGGAAAAAAAAAAAGCAATACTGCAGGCGAATGATAGCTCAGATGACTCGTTCAGAGCATTATGAGGATCCAATAAGACAGCGACAGGGAGACAGTGATGTAAAGGAAAGCATCTCGAAACACCCACACAAAGAGCCTCTATCAGTCAGTTGTGACTAACAAACTAAAAATAGATGTTTTAGCTCTCACATCCTGAATGAAATCATCTGTGCGGATATGAAGTCTAATTAAGAACCGACGCATTTCGCCGTGAACGCAATCTTTTGTTTTTTAAAGCCTCTAATCGCCTGAGAGAGCTGATTGATGCTTTAAAACTTTGATGTTCATTTCAAATGGTGTTAGCATTTAGCCAAGAGCGCCTAGCTTAGACGCCTAAGCATTTTAACGGTTAGCTAAAACAGAGGACAGAGACTTATGTGATGTGAATGGATTTAAATTTGAAGTCTGGACAAAATGAAGGGATCAAAAGGTCAAGCCTACGCAGTGACCTTTAAAACAAACACTTGAGATGACAGGTAGAAGGTAGAAGGAACACTCGTAGAAAATTGAATGCGAAATTGTTACACTCAGTATGGCTGCTGTAGAAATTGATTTTGCGTTGTTATGACATAATTTCCTCTGGCTCCACAGTGATTAGTCATTAGCATATACACCTCAGGTGATTGGCTTAAAAAAAAGAAAGGAAAGAGCAACAGCCACGAGAGGAATAGGAATGCTAACAGAGAGCTGTCTCCAGGTATTACAGACCTCCTTGGTGCAGTAAATGTGAATGGCAAGCTATTTAAAAGCAAAACAATGCTTCCTCGTCATCATCATCATCATCACCATCATCGTTAATGCGGCAACAATCATCAACCCGAATGGTCTCCTCCAGTGATATTACTTTATCACCATCCTATAATAGTCTCATTTAATGTGGCCATTAGCGTTTCCAGTGCAGAGCTATCGCCGCGTGTGTGTGTCTGTCTTTTTGTTATGCCAATAAAGCTATTTGGATATGAGAACTATGGATTGGAGAGAGGAAAAAAACAGAACGAGAAAGATAAAGGAACAGAGAGAGAAAACAAGACAGTAGGTATTTCGCACAGGGGCCTGTAAATAGCGCTTTAAATACAGATAAACGCTGTAAAAATGCAATAGCAATAAATCCCTCAGTAGTCTATGTGTAGTGTGGAATTTAAGAAGGTCAGACAGAAATGGGAAAGGAATAAAACAGTTGAGCTGCCTTTTACCTTTTATTATCACACTATAATTCTTTCAGAATAATTCAAGACTCTGTACTGTGCTTAGTTTGCCTCCATGTGCCACCCACCCTTATGTAAATGAAGAGAAAATGTTGCATAAACGTACTTGCGTTTGCACTACGCCACTGGCCGCAACATAACATCTGACAGGACAGGTATTTATTTCTTAACAAGTAAATAATGACACTAAAATATAGCCTTACAACATCTCATCTGAGAGCGGATACTGAGTCAGGACAACACGTTTTTACTCGGGTACTCTTTGACAGAAGAGTCAACAGCTTCCACACGTGTCTTTCAAAATAAAAGTCATGCATCAGATAAACATTTCAAATAATTTTTGTTGTTGTTGTTTGATGAACGAGTTACGTGTCAGATTATGCTATTTTGACCCCTACATTTTTGTCGTGTCGTGGACAAGAAACACTTCTCAACCAATCATCGCTTGCCGTATTTAACGATGTTCTTGATGTCACAGAGAAGGCAGAACTAGCGACAGACTTCACAAAAACGTGATTGTACAATGATTACTAGTCTAATGCTAATTCCAGTACTCATCGGGTTGCTAAAGCGCCTCTGCTATCGTTCGCCAGCATTTATCTTTTTTCATTGGGTGTTTTTGGCATTATTGGGTGGTCGACCCTCGAGAAAACATCATAAAGGGAGGAGTATCGTTACCATGACTCCACGACTCTTTCCTCCATTGCATAATTCCACCTGGCAGCACCAATGCCATCGTTTCTCTCTCGTTTCGGCTTGTTTGAAAGCTGTGAACGGAAGAGCTTCTGAGCTCCTATTGGTCAACGTCACAGATGTGAGGGAACTCGTCGTGGAGGACCGGAAACAAAAATTAAACATGCTAATCTTTCTGTCATGAAGTATCGCAGACGCGTCATCGGTTGTCGTCCACTATGAAACACTATACGAGATGAAACGATCGATTCTTGCATTTCGGCGCCTATCGTCTTTTACGAATCACCTCGACATCCTACGTCAAACGAATCATGCCAAAATCGGATTGATATCGTGTAGTCTGAACCAGCATAAGCAAGAGTGGCTTATTCCCGTCATGAAGTACATGTTCATGTCCCTATAATTTAGCCTATATG